CCTTTGGCAAAAGGACTGAGGAGGCTTTGGGGAAAGTAGCATGTTAAGTTGTTACAGTAATATTACCAGATCTAACCCTGTCAGATTCTGCCAGATCTAACCCTCCTCTGAATGCAAGCCAGCAAGTTCAGTGGGAAGCTTATAGGAAATGACTTAAGAAGAGAGTATCTTGTAAATACTGCTCTTCCCCTTAAACTGAAAGAGGGAAGAAAAGAGAGAGTAGCAGCCTTTCCTTTCAAATCAGAGGAAGAAGACTGATCCTTTGTATGCAATGTCTTAGGGAATACATCTTGTGTGTAGTAAATCAGACATTAGTACCTTCTCTTCTGAGGTAATCTGAGCCCATATCTAGTAGGACAATGCTCCAGATAATAAGCCAAAGACTATACTATGCTAGTCAAGGAGTATACTTTAATCTAGTTGAAGCTGGGAATACTATTTTTGCATGAAATACTGTTCTCTAAACCAGAGATGGTATAAGCAAGAGCAATCTATCTTAAATAAGGGTTACAGCACACATTGAATGGTCCCTGCTCTCATTAAGATGTCACAATTTATATTGACTATGCTGGTGGCATTTATGCCTTTGCAATTTAGCTTTTCTAGCTTCCATGGGCGGGCTTACATTGTCTGCTTGGCATTGTCCATCTATTTCTATGAACCAGGATTGTTTATGGGACACTATAAATTAACAATGCTATTTTTTAACCTCAAAAATCTCAAAAATGAGTTAACTTACAGTGACACACGTTAGAGTTTAACCTTGAAGTTTGCAGACCAAAGTCTTCTATTGATCTGCAGAAGGGAAAAACATGGTCTGCAGAAACCAGTTCTCAAAAAGAGTTTACTTCCTTATTCTTTTCAGCTGAAATAATGATGATCACAATGCTTCAGTATGAAGTTAATTTTTACACTATACAAGCTGTCCTGAGGCCAAAAATTAATTTGGCATTTGCCAGGAAACACCTCACTATATAGCTACTCACATTTCTAAACTGATGCTGAAAGTTTTCAGAATAAGCTCCCTAACTAATCGGTTTCCATCCCTTCTCTATTTCCAGCAGTATAATTGTTACTCTCCAAAGCTAAGAGCAAAGAGTAGATAATCGAGTGACACTGAAAACAGCATGAAAAACATCACCATAAAATCCAGTGCTCACAAACAGCAATGTCTCAGATGGTGCTGCTTAAAATCAGATCACTAGTGTCAGGGCTAATTCTATGTTTTCTGTTTTGAAAGATTCCACAATAATTTTGATGCATTGTTTACTGCTTCCAGAGAATGGAAAAATATGATTATAGGCTACCTCTCCATTATATGACCATTTCTGTAGTGATTAAATCTGTATCAATTGACATTTAGCCTTTTGCAGATGTTTTCATAGATGGGAATTGGTATGGAAGAAAAAAAAGTAGGGGGAAAGCAGTCCTTGTACATCTTATGACCTAGTTGTAATTCCATTTAAAATGTTAGAGAACTATTGCATTGAAAAAGGAAAGCCTAAAAAAATGACAAGGGTTATAAGGGGAATAAATGTAGTTATGTGAGCCAGATCAAACCAATTCATTTTCTGCTACTCAAAGTCTGATCAGGAAAAATAGACTAAAGGTTTGTTGTTGCCCTTCAAGAAATCCAGCTTGAAGATGAAATTCATGCCTGAATGCAGACAAGCAATTTGGAAAAGTCAGAGTTTGATTTATTTTTCTCTGAAAGGTTGTGTAAAGCTTCTTACTAAAGATCTCAAAGTTACACAAAGGTGGTTTGTATGATTAAGGGCAACGATAGTTCTCAAGAACTCTTAGAAGATACAGACATAAGCTTGCTCTCATTTATGAAAATGTCAAAACAAGTAAACGAGATTTGAGAAACCCAAGATATGACACAGTTCAATAAACTGTAGTTGATAAAAAAATGTTGAAAAAAGCCTTTCTTTGGCCATTCTGCTCTGGGACAGAAAATCTATAACACAACTTGCAAGGTCTTAAAGCATGCCCCTGCAATGAAAGGGAAAAGACAAATTAAACTAGAGCAAATGTTCACTGCTTCCCAGCAAATAACTTCTAGGCTGCAAACACTAGATGAATTTAGGATTTCAGTTATTTATTTTGAGGAGATTAGTCTCGGTAGAAGGGTGGGTGGATTTGCTTGTGAGTACATAATGCTGTTCTCTTGTGCTGTAAATCAATGTAGCTCCAATGAAATTTGGGGAAAAGCAGAATTTCTGACTCTTAAACACTATTTTAGTCATGTATAATCACAACAGCTTCAACTGTTAAATTAAAAATATATATATACCCACATATATATGCCTTTCTCTCCCCTCAAAGGTTCCTTTCTCGTTATATTTCACCTTTGCTTGTTCGCATTACCCACAGTATCAGAAGTCTCAACTCAGAGCTTCCTGGCTCTCAGTAATTATTTTAGTCTTCAGTTTACTGCAGCGTTTCTGTTTTATTTTTATGGTATTCCAGCAATACATCATAATGAAATAACAAAACTTGGAGATTGAAGAGAAGGTTGGCTGTGGGCTTGAAGTGTCTGATGGAGTCCTGGATTTGTATTTTGGCCAAGGTACATTACTTTTGCAGATTCAGGACCCCACAAACCAGTGCAGCTGCTCCCAAGTTTTTTCTAAGGAATAGGTTTACTGTAAATTGCATCAGAAGATAAAAGGTGGTGGGGTTTTGTTAGTTTACAATGTATTTAGGAATGAGTTAACAGGTTGAATATTGATGAAACATACCAATATATTGAATACTAAATTGCTACTAACGACATAATTAGCTTCTAGCATATAGTCTTTTCTAAAAAGCTAATCTCTGACTCTTCTGACAGATCCTAAGTATGTGTTACTGTTCACTGAAAAGATAAAAAACAATGCAAAAGCCAGAATGTTATGGGATACATATCAAATTTATTTTGAAATTACTTTCCTTAATCCTGTAATGTAAAGCATATTGTACTCTTATCGATTTAACATGGAAAAAAAAGGAAAGGCTCTTTGTAGACTGTATTAGGTTATCAACCACGAGTAACATCTTCTTTTCTAGAGAAGGATGCTGTGTGAACTAACACATGAGCACTCAGCTCAGAGGTGAAAATTTTCTCTAATACAGCAGTATTATCCCATGACTGCATTAAGTGCTTAACAAGCTCTGTAATTGAGAATAACGTAATGTCATAACAATGTCATAACAATTACATTAACAGATTCATAGACACAAACTTCCTCATAAACTTCAGTGGTGCAATAAGTTCCTACAGGTTTCCTACAATACCCACTTGATCCACTTTTTTGAGACTTTCACCTCTGCATTGAAATACAGCAACTAATGAACAATGAACTGTTATGTGGTATAAGTTTAGGGAGTAGTATCTGTAGCAAAGCACAACTGAAGAGGAATTTTAGTAGACAAAATTTGTAGACATTTGTTCCACCTTCAAAACCATTTCCTACAGGACTTCCAGAAGAGATTTTCCATTCAAGTTCACATCCAGACCTTCTTTAATTTAACATCTGCCAGCATGATAGTGCAGAGTTATGTTGTAATTGCAAGAAAAGTCCAATTTTTTGAGCCACCAAGTCATATCAGAATTTATTCTAAAAAGTGTGGCATTCATGAATAGGTAAAATACTATCATAGCAAAAACTGTATTACAAAATTCAGTTACCAAGACCATCTCCTAAACTGTGAGGTGCTTGAGAAAAAAAAAATCTGTTTCTATTTAAATGGTGAAGGGGCATCAAAACTCCCAAATGCTTGCAAAAGATGCTGTGATTAAATATGGAAAAGAGAAAACTGCATTGATAACAATAAAGACAAGAGACTAAATATGAAGGGCTTTCATGACCTCAGAACATGTTTGCATAAAAATGCTCTGGTTAAATTTGCAGGAGGACATTTTAATCTCATTCTAAGTTACATCAACTTAATTAGAGATTGTGGACAGAAGTAGGTACTTAAAAATTATATAATTTTAATTCAGAAATCTTCTTTCTGAAGTGTTGTTCCCACCCTTCTAGAATGCTGGTTGATATAAAAGCCAGTAATTTTCATTATTAATTTAATATATTTGTCAATAATTTAATCTAAAAAATTTGATTAAAAAATAAGGGGAGCAAGATCTGTTAGCATGAACTTTTTTTAAGCATGCTCAAGTCACCCTCTATTCTACAGGGTAGGACTGTTCAACACAGGGAGGTAAATCCTCAACAATGTTAGCTGCTTGTTATTCTGGAAAAATCCCCTGCCTTATCTATTTCTGTAATAATTCATGTTTTTACCAAACTGCCTTCAGTGTGATCTGTAAGACACTAAAGCGTGCTTTCTACCCTACATATAACTGGCAAAGCTTAACTTAATGTATCTGCTTCAGCGGTACACTTCAGGAAACGTGGGCCAGCTGGAGGGAGACCAAAGAAGAAAGAGAGTGACTGGCAATTAGGAAACATGACCTACAAAAAACAACTGCAAAAACAGGTGTTATTTGAAGGAGGAAAAAATTTCTGAGGAGTGAAAAAAATAAGGATTTTTTAATATTTAGCATATTGATGTAAAAAATGGAAAAAAATCTGATTGCTATGTCCAGCATGCAAACAACAAATATGCTGAAACTGCAGAAAGTGACATTTAATGTAAATGTTGTTGTTTTTTTCCTTATGGTAAAGTAACTCAGTATTTTAAACAAACTGCTATAATGATACCACAACCTTAACTGTGTTAAAAAAATTACATATTTATAACTGACCTTGCCTTTGGGCCATGGAATGAGACTACTTGACCTCTTATGCCTCTCTGTTGACCTTTTATTTTCTTTTGATTCTTGGCTATGAAGTTATTTACAATAAACTTAACTCCTTCTGTAAAGGCTCCAAGATCAGGCCCTAAATCTGTCATGGTGTTGATAATCATGACGATCAGAAGTGTAACACTTGTAAAACTGGAATGTGAAATCCCTTACCTCACAAAATGTCAGTGAGAATCCCTTTAAGAATGACCCTGTGATATGATCCTGACAAATCCCAGCTGTATCTGAAATGGAAAGGTTATTTGACAGTGAACTTTATTTTAGTGTGGTGACTTCCGGCTGTCTGTAACAAAAATAAATTGAATGATATAGTCAAAACACCATAATCTCCTACAAGGCCAAAACCAGAGTCATATTTCATTTACTATCACTTGTTTCAGATATACTTTAGTTTATTGCTTTATGGTTCTTGAATGCTGAAATTCATAAATCATGATAAGGTCAGCTGCATTCTCTTAAGTATACAAATAATCTGTAAAATGTAGTTCTTGTTAGACTATCCATGCCCAAAATCACCTTTGACTAAATTATTTTTATTTTAGAACAAACTCTGAGTGTACATTGTGTACATGTACCTCTTCTTACAAGTTATCTAAGCCTAGATTAACTCTGGCAGCTGAACTCTGCACATACAAAAAATTATGTATTTTGAGAACAAAAAAGACATCACAGCATTCTAGACAGCACAATAGGGTTGTTTTTTTTCTGTGTTCCTCCATCTTTCTTCTGTTTTCCCAAGCTTTCTTCTGTTCTCCCCAGTCTTACACTAGCATTCATTTTGATTGAAAAATGGTTTTAAAAGGAGGATAAAAAAATTACAGTCACTTTGGACTGAATAAATTAATAAAAACTTATGGATCTGGTTACCTCCACTGAACCATTGCTTTGTGCTGCACAGGTGTTATAAGGAACTGGTCATGTGCTTCAGGCAGGGGTAAAATCTTCCTGCTGCTTTAGCCTGTTCTTATATTACTGGCACAGCCTCAGTGCAGGAGATGAAGCAGGACCACTTCTTTTTCCAGTGACCCCTGATTTCTTTTTGGTTATAACTGGCCACAGTTCCTTGTAAACTGAGACTGGGATAAAAGCTGTGAATCAGGTACCTGTCGTGCCATAGTCCCTTGACAGCATTCAGATGGCAGAATTTTCTGCCTCTTATTTCTCTTATTTCTAGAGATTCCAAATTACATCACTATATCAGCAAAGACTGATGTCCTAGGTAAGCACTGATTCCCTTGCAATTCAAGAACCTCCCTCCAGTTTCCTCATCGCTGTATATACCTTTCTTTTTACCTGCTCCCTGCAGGAACAGCACTGGAGAGGGGAGATTCCTTCTGACCATCATTTGCAGCCTGCTAGGCCTTATAGTTCCTCAAATAAATTTTTCCTGAATGGGCTCCTTACACTGTTCTTCTTGTAGTCACTTGTGTGAAAAAAAAAGAAAGAACCAAACAAAACCAGGTCAGAGATGCTGAAACACTGTCAAAGAAGAACTGGGTGTGCAAATGATGGGAATAGGGCTTTGTATCTGGGGTTTACTTCTTTCCCATCGCCAATTTCTGGAACTGATTTTGGCTGATTCTTGTTCCAGCTAACCATCTTTCTGGAATACATTTCTGCTTATAACATAGAACTGCTCAGAAGGGAAGTATGAGTCCTAATCTTTGCAAAGAAATAATATTTACTGTTCAGTCTTCCCACCACACTTACTGTTGTTTATGACTCTGGCAGTGACACACAGTGCCCTGTTACATTCTTAGTGGGCTAGAAACTAAATATATGCATGAAAAATACCGTTCCTATCTCTAGGAATTTGCAGTTTAAAACATGTTATGGCAAGATAAAGCAAGACCTGTAGACAAATTTTTCCATCTCTACTGAAATTTTACTTGTTTAGAAAGTTAATGTTTATTGTCTGCAAACCACATAGAATAAAATAAATGCAATACAAATGATAATGAAAAGGAATTTTCTCTCCTAAATTGTTCTATAGAATTTTTCTTCCTAAAGTACTGAAGCAAAAAATATATCTGTAACCATGGAGATTATACCAGGCAACATGCATAATAATTCAAAGTGTGGCATCACACAAATGTTCTTTGTCATGAGTGGATTACTACAAAGAAGTAGGTTTCCCCTAAACAATTTTCAGAAGCAGGATAGATGTGGTTCATTTCTCAACCCTCTTTTTTGCAAGGGGGAAGGGGAAGTGTCAGCACTGTGGCAAGTGCAGCAGTGTAGTATTGTGTTCAGTTTGAAAAGACCCAGCTTCCCAGGTTTCTGGGAGTTTTGAGTCCGAGATATGATTTGCTGAAAATATTTATCTGCTGTGAATAGTCCCATCAGAGCAATGAATCCCACCACATTGCTCACATGGCATAAAAGATGTCCATGGTGACATATAGTTAAGGATAAATAGTAAACAGTTCTAATTAATTTTGGTTTGGTTTGGTTTTAGGACTACATACAAATGTACAAAATCTGTATTAAAACCATTTATGTTTAATCCTAGAAATACCAAGATTTGGCTAATTTAAGTGTTAGCTATAAAACAGCATTCCTTCACATTTGGCAATATTTCTTTCTCTGCTTATTCCTTCTCTGCATGGATGGCATCAAATAGCAAAGAGCTCTCAGTCTGCCAGTTTCTAATGCAGGATGAATATTGATGTGGTTCTTAGTCTGATACAGCCTATAAGTCAGAGGGAAAAAATTGCTGCAATCAGGACCTTTCATAATTCATTAATTTCATAATTTCACTTTTCCACCTAAGGGGTTAACTAAAATCTGATGGTTTGCAGTTGTTTGAGTTAGGAGGAGAAACTGATGATGATGCAAGGATGATGTAAACCCTGTTAACTTACAAACAATGTAGAAAATGTGGTTTCCTTCAAGATAGGAGAAATTCAGAAGATACATCCTTTTTATGCAGTCATGAACTCCTCAGTTGTTTCTCAAGAGCCAGACACCTACTTTTTTTTTCTGTCTCTGTAACTTCTTTTTTCCAATTCCTGGTGTTTTTTTCCAACCCTGAAATTATAGATTACAGTAAATGTCTTTCCAATTCCTCCTCCATCTTATTTTGCTTTGGCAATAGGCCACTGTTTCACCTATTACTTTTATAAAGTTGGACTTTTTCTTTTTTTGCGTTTATTTTAAGTGATAGACCATTTTTGTGGTCTCCAACTTGAAAATGCAATATTACCCAGCCACCAATGGATAGAGGTTGAATGTAATTAATTCTTTCCCTTTCTTTTCTGTAGGAGGCTACAAAGAGGCCCAGTGTGAAAGGAGGAGTTAACACTGTTACTTAATGCTTTACTTCTGTCCCAGAGGAGCTGACCCCCCCAGAGATCAGTGGTAATCATCATTTCCATCATTGCCTAAGATGGGTGTTATCATGCAAAGCATGTTTTTTAGAAGGAATAATTTTACCCAACGTATTCATTCTTAAATTTAGTGTGTGGAATTCAAATACGTCAACATTTATATCTAGAAAAATTAACTGAATTAAAGCAACATGGAAGGTATATTTTACTTTGTACTTGCCAGACAGCGGTGCCTGGCCGTGTGATTAGCGGCATTAGGATTGGCCAGAGAGATTTTGGATTTGGGAACTGATAAAGATTTGTAAAATAATCACAGTAAATACAGCACTAGCCATTATTTTCTTTACCTGAGCAGTGAAAACTGCTCTGTGTTGCACACACGTGACAGTATTGCAGCACAATGATTTAATAAAGCACTTAACACTCCCAACCCTTATGAGGCAAATCAAGGACACTTCCATTCCTTTCCCTTCCGACTTCAGATTTAATTTCTGCATCCCTTGGTAGAATTTGCACTACAATGTGTGGTGCATTTAAGACAGAGCCCTTCCTAACTTCTTTTCTTCCCCCTGTACTCGCCACTGATGGGGCCACACCTCAAATCCTGTGTCCAGTTCTGGGCCCCTCAATTCTGGAAGGACATTGAGGTGCTGGAGCATGTCCAGAGAAGGGAGCAGAGCTGGTGAAGGGTCTGGAGCACAAGTCCTACGAGGAGTGACTGATGGAGCTGGGGCTATTTATCCTGGAGAGGAGGAGGCTCAGGTTTATCACCCTCTACAATCACCTGAAAATAAGGTTGTAGGTGGGGATCACTCTCTTTTCCCAGGCAACCAGCAACAGGACAAGAGGACGCGGTCTTAAGCTGCGCCATGGAAGGTTTAGGTTCAACATTAGGAGGAATTTCTTCACAGAAAGGGGTGATCAGACATTGGAATGGGCTGCCCGGGGAAGTGGTGGAGTCACTGTCCCTGGAGGTGTTTAAGGAACGGCTGGACGTGGTGCTTGGTGCCATGGTCTAGTTGACATGGTGGTGTTTGGTCACAGGTTGGACTCGATGATCTCAGAGGTCTTTTCCAAAATGACTGATTCTGTGATTTTGTGTTTCCTTTGGGTCAAACCGAGCCAAACAGGGCTCGGGGAGAACAGACAAAGGTAGCAGTGGAGTAGAGAGACCCTTCCCGCTGCTCTCGGCTGCTCCTAAGGCGAGACAGGCCCCTGACAGCCCTCACTGGGCTCAGCCCCGCCCTCCCCGCGCCCTCCCCCGGCCCCGCCCCGCCGCGCTACCCGGAGCCGATTGGTCCGCGCAGCGTCACGTGACGGCGGGGCGGGCGGGCGCGCGCTCGCGGGGAGCCGGGCCCGGTGGGAGCGGCGCCGGCGAGGGCGGAAGTGCGCGGCGAGGGCGCGCGGGCGGCTGCGGTGCCCCCTCAATGAGAGCCGGGGGGCGGCGGCAGCACCGGGCACAGCCGGGCCGGGGGGCACAACCGGGCCGCGAGCCGCGCCGGAGCCCCCAGGTGAGAGCGAGGGGCAACCCCGGGATCCCCCCCATACCAACCCCGGGATTGTGGGAGGGGGCTCGGCTGTCCCGGCCCCGCGCCCCCGGTGAGGGGAGGCGGGAGCCGCCAGGTCCTGGCGCTGCCCGGGGATGGGCTGAGCGCCCTTGTGTCCGCGCTCTGCGGAGGGCGAGGGGAGGTGTCGCCGGGGATGCGGGGCAGCCTCTACCTGCGGGGAGCGAGGGGAGCCCGCGGGTTCTGCCCCGGGACGCGGCCCCTCAGCCGCGGGGGAGCCCCGGGGTACGGGCGGGGAAGCGACGGTGACCGCCGGGCCTGCGCGGGGCCGCAGTGGGAGGCGGGAGGCCCAGCTCCTGCGGCTCCCGGTGCCGCCGGGCTGAGGTGGAGCCGGGGGACGGCGGTGACTCGTATCTACAAGTGGGACTGGGGGAGGGAGAGGGCGAGGAGGAGCCGGCCTTGAGCCCCAGCTCCTCGGGCGGGTTCCTCCCGTGCAGGCTGCCCTGCCTTCCCTGGGCTGCCCGAGGATAAGTGATAACGTTTTGTCTGTGCGAGATAAACACAGGGGGTTTGGGTGCTGTCGGTCTCAGCCGAACCAGAAGTTCCTGAAGGATCTTGTTTTATCTGGGCAGGTTCTCTCTGTGCCGGTCTTTATCCTCCTTGCAGCCTTACGGGTGTAGATCTTGTAGGAAGAGAAGGGTGGTGCCTGAGTGTGACCTTACCTGGAGAAGGGCAGGGACAGAGGTGAGACAAAGCCCAGTCATGCTTCCTGAACAGCTGGGGGAGGCCTAACCAGGTCGTTCTGCTGGAGCCCTGTTGAATCGATTCTGATCTGAGAGCAGGAGACTTAGTCTTGACTACCCCTGGATATTTTCACAGTGTAGGGAAATAAGGAGACTATACCTGCACTAGGATCTGTAGCCTGCAGTCTAGGTAGCTATTTTTTTTTTTTTTTGAACTGTCCAAACGTTACTTCTGTAGTTCTGAGATCCTGGTTTCTCTTGTGAGGAACAAAGAAGTGCCTGTCTATTCAAGGGCATCCTCAGAGGTGTGATTTTCAGGAAAAGCTGTCTTTTTTTAGATGCCTTAGACACCTTCCTCCCAATTGACGTTAAAGTGACAGTAGGAACTAACAACTGGGAACTAGACTTGTGGTTCTTGGAAGTGATTTGCTTGAAGGCTGAAAATAATTTTATTACAGAGAGTTGATCCTTGTGGGTCCCTTCCAACTCAGAATATTCAGTGATTCTGTAATTTAATAGCAACAGCTCAATTTTACTTGACAATAGCATCTTTACACTTATTCACATATAGCAGACCTTTTAGAATAATTTTACCTACTGCTTCAATCACTTCTGTACGCTGAACTTAGGTTTTTGCTTACTATGAGATTATATCAACTTACCACAGTGACATTTTTTTGCATTTATTTCCTGTATTAAATACTCCATTTAAGAAATAGAAAAACCTTCAGAGTGCTCCTGTAAATCAGTTTCCTGTATTAGACTTTTAGTAGTAAATTGTTTTACACCTCTTTTGGAGTAGGCCAACTTGATTCTGTTTTGCATGCCTGGAGAAAAGTGAAGCTGACCTATTTTCACTGGTATTATGTATATGGTGCAGAGGAATTTCTAGTTTGAAGATTTAGCTGGAATGCTTTGCAAAAACTCTTTAACTGAAAGCTTAATTTGACCAGACAATACCCTTTCTTGGCCCTCCTTTAAAACTCTCAAACTTGTCTCTAATTGTCAGTGCAGTGGTACTGGAAATTTGGGTAGAAGAACAGTTGAGACATTTAGATAAAATCAAGTCAGTGATGACGGGACCCTGCCTAGACAACTTGGATGTGTACACCGAAACCTTGGATGGCTTATAGTTCCTGTGATGTAATGCCTCTTTCAGGCTCTAAGTTTTTTCAGCAGCAGCTTAATTGATTGAGCCCTACTGTTATTTGACCAAATGCTGGATAAAATGGCTTGCTTCTCTGGAAGTGTTGGTGTCCAAACTTCATAAGGAACAAAACTGTCCTGTGAACAGAGCAGAAGTGGCCATGTGGTACAGCAGAACAAGCCCTAGGATCGTGATTTGGGAATCTGGTTCGTAGTTTGTTCTTGTCCTGTTGCTTTGTAAACTCTGTTCCCTTTCCATGCAGCAGATAATTGCACTTTATAATTTCTTATTGACTAAATTCAAACTGCATGTGACTGATTAAGTGAATTGCTTTCCATTACACAATGAATTCATGTGAATTAATAGCCTCTCTTAGCAGGGGTACTGAAGGAGCCTGTTTCTCATGGCAGCTGTGCAGGCAATAGGCACTCGTGGGAATGCAAGTGCATAACAGTATCAAGACAAACAGTGCCTAAGGTCAGTAGGTGTCTTGTGCCTGTAGCAAAGAGCTTGGGATGGGAGTAGTGGTCTCTGGGGTTTAAGTGAAAGGCAGTGGCTGGGGATGCCACTGAAGAATATAAACGTAGGCACTTGCTGCTTTTCAGTCCCTGTGTGCCTGACTTCAAGTAACTTTTGCCTGATTGACTTACTGGTGCTGATCCTAATTATCAGCCAGGTTAGATAGCAACTGTATTCTCAAACTCATTCTGTCTTGACTTGGAAGTGCTATCCTGCTGATAAAAACCTGCAGTTCTTTAGTTTTTTTTTTCTCTCTTCATCTATCTTCCACCCCCATGTCTCTGCTAACAGTTCTCACTACTGTCAAGCAGTGTGATAAGGTTCCATTGCTTCTTACCTGCTATTGTGTGAAGCAGCAAAGTCAGCAAAGTCTTGTCTGTTTTGTTCTCCTAGTGGTGCTAATCAATTTCGTGGCATTTGTTCTGTGATACAGTTGCTGCCTGTCCCTTGACGAGGCTAAAGAACAGATATTTTAAAAGTCCTTGTTGATATCTGCTAAAGAGCAGTCATTTTGTTGGTAGCTCTTTTAGCCCAATAAACAAGACCAAGCAACTTTCCTCAGTGTCTGCCCCAGAAATATCAAGTCGTCTTGTCATTTAAGCAAGATGAGTGTGTATAGCTCATGCTTTATCTCTTCATGTTCTTCCAAATACTGCTTTAATAGTAATATTAGAGGATCTGTTTTGTCTCTTGTGCTTGAGATGTGCAAATGTGTTTTTCAAGACCTGTCAAAATGAAAGTCATGAAGTCATGTAATGTGAGAATGTTATTTAGGCTGATGTGTAAGTAGCTACTTGGATCTTTATAGTGACAAAGTGCTTGCGTAGAACAGTCACTTTGAACTGTTTTCT